GTGGTAGAGTTCGGCCCCCGAACCGTTTTTGAACAAGCCCATTCGTTCATGGTGTCCGAACTCAACGTCTCTAGGCTTTCAGGGCGTGCTTCATACCGGTATCATGTATATGCACTATAGGTGTGCAACTACAGCGCCAGTTGCGGCCGGTAAGCATGGACTTTCCAAAGTGGTCCCGATTGCGGTGGTCTTGAGGTATCGTGTGGGGTGTGTGTGTGTGTGTGTGTGCTTTTACAGCGCCGAAGCCAAGCAGCGTACCAGCCCGTGGCAGGTCATCAGCGCGGATCCTGGACTTCTAGCCGACCCTGTCGCCAGGCTCAGATCGTTTTTGAAGCGGCCGAAGGCAAGATAAGAGCCCCAAAGCCAGGACCTCTGAAGCATCGAAGCTAAGGAGACGCAAGCCCTCATAGAGGATCGCTTCAGCTCGTTGGGTATGACGATGATGACGCTGCTTGGATGTGAAAGATCGTGAGAAGCATCTCGATGGACGTGAAGCCGAGCCCCAAACCTTAACCTGAACCCCAAAAGTGAGAGTCTTCGGATTGCGGTGTAGTGCTTATAGGGTTTAGGGCTTTTAGGGTTTAGGGTTGTTAGGGGGCTAGGGCCAATGGAAAGCTGCGCAAGTGAAGGCTTCGCAGGTCTTGTATCGTTCTAGCTTCCAGCAAGGCTGACACAGTTTGTGACCGTGGATTCCATCGCCTCCGTCTACTTGCCTCTCATACGGCAGAACCCCTGGCTGATGTTCTATTTCGTCCCACTCATCTTGGTGGTTTCGATCTCCCTGATGAACCTGGCATCCCGGTCCGTACATGACAAGTCGGATTCTTGCTTAGCGTTCTGTGCTTGCACTTTTGCAAGGAGGCTCAGGCCCAAAACGCCTTGGAGTTGTAGAGTAAGAAAAATAGACAATAATACTAACAATACGACTACTAAACCTGACAATAATAACGACAAACACTGGACATAGGAATCGTAATGGCAGCAGTACTACGGTATAGAAATTACTATAGCTATGTAAATATCATTTATATGACTATAAAAAGTGTCAATGCGAATAACATTATAAATACCAATATTAATATGACACTAATATAGCTAATAATATCATTTATATGACTATAAGTGTCGATGGTCGATACTAATATCATTCATAAATACCAATCTGGGTAGTTCTCCAAATTAGGGTCCCCTGTTGGGTCCTTTTCATAAGGGTGCCGTACCTAAACAGGGACCCTAATTTAGAGAACTACCCATATTCATAGAGGGTCTCCAGACTGTCCGTTGCAAAAGTGAGGTAACGGCCTCCTTAGTCGAAGCCGCCCTGGAGCACGCCCGGCAGGAGAAGGAAGAGGAGAAGAAGTTCCTGGGTTGCTGCTTTAGGGCTTTTAGGGCTTTAGGGCTTTAGGGCTTTAGGGGTGTAGGGCTTTACGGCTTTACGGGTTTAGGGGTTTAGGGGTT